ATGATATGATGCCGGTAGGTGTTTGTGGGGTAATTGGGTGAGGAGTGGATGGGAGGGGTGGGTAACTTTATTTTTCCTCGTGCGTGGAATACAGTACAGCAACCCCAGTGTCATGGTCGGGTCTTGATACCATACCCGTCCAAGTAGGCTCCCGTACGAGTTCAGCGCGGTGTGGTACAGTACCGTAGCACTCAGCGGGAGTGAGAGCGCCTGACATCTGGAGTGATGTCGTAAATTACCGCACAAGTGAGAGCTGTGTTGCGGATGCGGTATCACACAGCACGATACGGCAGAGCACAGCACAGCACGATACTGTACCGTACATAAAAAAGGATCCGGCGAGGATAAATGTGCCCGGCGCTGTAGGTATTCTACTAACTTAGTATAGTATGGTGATAATGATGAGACGCCGTAGACCCTGTAAGTTAGTCTCTACCGTAGCAAGCGTGATAAATCACTGCACACCTCCCTTTTCTCCCCTTTCCGTCTCGACCACGCTGTGCTTGATGCGCTCTCCCCCGCATCCCATGTACTGTACTATACATACCAGAGAGTGGGAATTCCAACGTCCGGCCCACGTTTCCTCCATTCGAGGCCTCTCGCGGTGCAGCCGATGGGCCCGTGTGGATTTTGACACCCCCTTGTCTTGTCCGGTCGTGCTTGTGCTGGAATAACCGGTATATACAGTAGCATTCGGGAATTGCGGTTGGTGTTACAAATTAGTCGTTGGGAAAATCATTTCCTTCCTTCCTCCCTTCTTGATTGGCTCCCCTTTGGCGCGCTGGAAGAAACGGCATTTTTCCCACTTTCAAAAGTTCCAGGGAGAGTGTTCTCGCATAAGAAAGGGATTATTTTGCGGCTTAACCTGGATTAACCGTTCGTTTATTTTTGAGGGGGGTATCATACTTGTACTTATATGACATCCCTTTTTCACTTTATTTACTTTACCTCATTAATTTTTATTTACTTATTTATTCCTTTATTTTCATCGGCCCTGTTAGTCATGCGGATGGAAACGGTGTTTCCCTCACTTTTATGGCATTTCTGTTCCGAATGAAATATCATACGGTATCATACAGCCCCCCCCCCCCACCTGCCGGAATTTTCTCCTCTAACCGCGAGTAGAGGGCTAGAAAGGGCGGGCGGGTGCTATCCAGATGTGTATTTCGCTTTGCGCTCTGGTCGGAGAGATTTGAGTTTTGGCGGAAATTGGGTTTCCTAAAGGGGAATCTCTTTTTTAAATGCCATTTTATTCATCCTCTTTTCCCCTCGGCTACCGTACCCCCTCCACCCATCGTGGGCCTTCCCCCGTAAATACAGGTTAGAGTTGGATTCCAGCGCCCATTGACTGAGGACAACGTCTTCAATCTCCTAGCCCCCATATAATTATGGCAGGATCACCCAATTTCCCCCGCCTTACAAGGCCACGCACGACGAACCGGTGACCCGTTCGGAGGGAAGGAGTTGAACTCCATCGCACAAGGACTAATTTGATTCTTGGCGTCTTGACTACTTGTTTACTTACTTACTCCAGCTAGCTATCTGGACATTTCGCCGTGATATTATCGCGGGAATCTATGCTCATCCCATGATACCGGTCGGTTAGATCCGGGTTCCTTTCCTCTAGAGGTTGAAGTCTTATCGTTAGATATTGAACGTGAATGACATCGTCGGAGCAGGCGACTGTGCATACCCGGGAGGGAGAAGGGGGGGTGAGAAAACTGTAGGCACTAACGTTTACACCCCACGGTGAATCACCTGGTTCAAAAAATGGAAAAAGGGTGCTCCGGCTGTGGGGAAAGGGATCTCTAGGGGGGGGTTACCAATCACGGGTGCATCGTATCATACGGTGCCGCAATGCAATATTCGCTACTTCTGGTGGCCTCGCTCAGGTGTTTGCCCCCGATATTCGAGTTGGGAGTCACTAGTGCAATGCGGGGGCCCACCTTGCCTGGATGCAGATTCCCGCCGAGTGAGGCGATATGACCGGATTGTATCATACAACCTGTTGTTAATTAAATAAGGTATGATACTGTGAAATGGGTAGGTCCTGGTTACCCTGTCGCGGAAGAAGCTCGAAAAACTATGGGTAGCATTCTGCCTAGAAACTCCCTAGAAACGCTGAATATGAACATAGCGTAACAGATGATGTTAGAGAGCCCTCTTTTAATCGGGGCTATGAAACTGGAAGAGTGAGGAGGTTGCAAGGTGCAGTGCAAAAAAACCGGAGAAGGGTAGAACCGGGTAACAAACATAATGAATATCACCATAATATTATTGTATGTATCCTCCGGTTATTACTCAGGGAATTATCAAGGGCCATGAGCTATGGGGAGGGAATACTTCTCGAAACCACTGGTGGAGTCCTAGGGTCCCAATCCAAGAGATCTCTCCAAAACGTCACACTCCGCCACGCTTGTAAAATCGTACATGAGTACGTTGAGAGAGAACCCGCTCGCTACCCCCACGCTCGAGTAGTCAAGACTTAAGACCAAAAGTATACCCTCTTTTCTCATGGATCTAGAAATCTATGTTGCTAATTTGGCGAATCCTGAGTCGGCAACTCTAGAAATTGACCTCTATGAAAACCCCTCGGGCGTGTCGGAACTGGACAAAGACATTTGGCCCGCGCTCAAGAGAATATCCGGGAGTTTTCGTGGTGGTTAAACAGACTAGCGTACAGTGGACAAAACTTGGGCCAATATCAAGAACTAGGGGTTGGCTTTGGGCTTGACAGCAGATATTTGTTGGAACCAATGGAGATCGTGAGTTGCGGTTGATCATGGGCCGTGCAGGAAGGATGGCAGAAGTCCAGTGTTGTTTCTGGCAGTCACGGGAGTAGGTTTAATTTGTTAGGAGCATAATAGATACATCCAAATGTTTAAAGAGGACTCCAGAAATATGGTTTTCCCTTGTTGTCACCGAAGTGTGCGAAGGAGCTTGGACATGCGTGGAATCACGGAGATGGGTACAGCGATCCATGGAGTGATCAGGTTGCTTTGATGAAGTTTTACGTATGCACCTATCGTTACCGATTAGTTAGTCGTGAGGCGAGAGAGGTGAGAAAAACAAAGTTCATACCTTTCCTATCTTTCCGACCACAGCGAAGTCCCACCCTGCGCTCGTTCTACCGCTGCGCCGTTTGATATCAACCTTTCCTCCAATGATATCTTCATACTTTCGAGTGATCTAATATGATGCGACTAATTTTCCCGAGTTTCTTTCAGTCCACATGTATGCGTTAACATGAATTGAGTGGAACACGAGCGCATCCTCCAACGGCCTCTGTGCTGTACCTATGCCACCGTGTTGGGGTGACATGTATTTCACCACGATTTCCTATGGAAGTGGGGGTTAAAAGGCCCTCGGGAAAGATCTTTTGCTGCGATCTGGGGATTGAATACAAGATTGATAATGGCCATTTACAAACTAACTACAAACTAACTGCTCATAATGGTATCATACAGGGGTGAATGACAAGAGAACGGGAACAAAAAGAAAACTTGCACACCTCTAATCCCCCCACTCACCTCCCCCGCAGCGGCATACGGACATGCCTCAACCTCCTACCCTGCCCTGCCGGGTAGTTGCTACTTCTCACCTCTAGGCTCCACCATAGTTTTCTTGGTGGTGGTGTACATTGGCGACTGTACTCGCTCCTTCTCCTATAGCGCTGGGTTTCTAAAACCGACCCTCCCGTGAGCGAAAATCGACGGTGAAGCTCTCCGCAACGACAAGGGTTTTTGAGAAACGAATTTCTACGAAGCTGGTCGGAATCAGCTACTCCTCTTCAATCCTGTGGGCTCTAATTTTATATCGAATACTGGTTGGGAACGGTCAGGTGTGAAATCTCTGGCATGGCAACATACATACAGATTCATGTCAGGGCGAGGTTAGAATAACAATGAAAATCTGTCATCATACTGGCTGGGCTTCACGATGCTGAAAGCCGCTATCCAGTCATTTCCAGCATTTCACTTTCGAGTTGTCGCATTTCCGGGTCATACTTTAACTACTGCAATCACAGCAGTCCCTTATTACCCATCTCCTCCATACTGACCAGTTCTAACCTCTTCAGAAATCGTACTCTTTTTTCCCCTCTCTTTGTGCGTGCTGTAGCCGGGTGGCCTGTTTGCTCGTTTCCGCACCTTGCAGTAGCGAAGGGTAATATTGCTGACAAGTATTCACCTGTGTGTACCACACAGTTTCAGGATTATTAGTAAGAAAATATTTATCTTGTATAAAATAGAGTAAGCCTGAGTAGCATGTAACTTTTATTGCATTTTACAATAGTTCTTTGTCTTCTGAAATTTTACCTTATCTTACCTCAATCCTACAGAATAGTAGTGACTATTATTTTCTGGACTTTGGTCCTTATCTTCTCTAAACCTTTTCTGTTGTAACTGTTCAGGTTATTTTGAGGACTATATTGTAATATGGAATTTAATATATTAGTCTTTTTCCCTTAGTACTCAAAGCTAATAACCTACACAAATAATATCGTTATTCTGAACCACTACCAAAGTGTCTACTTTTAAGCAATTTAAAGCTTGGTTCCGGATTACTTTGTATCTTTTATGATATCATACCTCCGGTGCAGCATGACTGTGGCGGTGCACCACAGATGATGCCCCTGGCTCAGCCCCTCAAAACTCCATACAAACCCACCGGAATAATTTTAATCCACCCTCACTCAATCTAAGCACACGATCCCTCCGGCCAAGTGATCAACGAAGATCGCACACCGGAACCTCTGATCCGGACACATCCACCGAGGCTCCTGTGGCGTAACCACAGCTACCGACACCGCCGGAGCTTTACAATAATAGGCGGGCGGAATATAAGCGTAAGCTGGGCAAGAAGAACGAACAAAAACCCACATTTCTCTAATCTCCTAGCTAAAAAAAAAGAAGACTAACCAAACCAAACAAAAACTGAGTGAAGAAATCTACAACTGATGCATTTTAGGGACGGTGAAGACCTGTGAGGAGGGGGTAGAGAAAGGATCGTTCGGGCCTGAAAAAACAGATTTCGGTAAATAAAAGAAGAAGCCGCCATCATTAGAAAGAAGAAGAGGAAGAAAAGAGTGGCTATGGAAAAAGAAGAAGAAGAGCTACTCTCCCGCCAAGGATGAGCGTGTTCACATAATCTCTAGCGAACTTATTTGCTCCTGTACTAGTTCTCTGGTGCATCCCCAAGGCACTCTCCAACGGTAACGGCTGTGTGGTTGCTTGAACTCTATCCTAAATTGTGGGAGTATCCATGGGGGACGCTTACATCGTATCCCTTCGCCTTGAACTTGTCGAGCATGTGCTTGGCTGACTGGTCGACGGTAGCCTCGTGGATATCCTGAGCAAGAGCAATGAAGTTGTTCTTCTTGGAATCGGCCCCATCAACTGCCTTGCCGACAATGTCCTTAGATGCTTGCATGTTGGTCATGTTCTTCCAATCGTGAGTATCTAGGTTCTCGCCGACAACATGGTATCCCATCTTCCCCATTAGCTTCATGCACTTACCATTGCAATCAAAGTTCGGGGGGGCGCATGTAGGTTGGCTTCTTGCCAATAATTCCATGGAGGGCGTCCTCGAGTTTAACCATTTCCGAGACCTTATCAGTCTCCGAGAGAGAAGACAAAGGTTTATGGGAGAAGCTGGAATATTTGTTAATTCTGAAAGTAGAGTTAGGCCGTATGGGTGACTTACGTGTGAGAGCTGATTTGGTGGCCTTCTGCCATCATCCTTTTGGGGACGTCCATCATTCCCTGGCCGTTGAGATCACCGGTGTTCTTGCCGTTGACGAAGAAGGTGCCACGAATGCTACCACTATTCTTGAGGGTGTCCAACAATCTATTAGTATACTTGAATGGCCCATCATCAAACGTCAGAGCAACCATTCCAGGGTCTTCAAAACTCTTGATGAGCTGTCCGTATGGGACACCCCCGGGGTTTGGACGGTTCATAACCAGTGGGTTGATTTTTCCCGGAGGGGGTGGGGGCAAATGCGGAGGCTTGTCCTTAGGACCACCGAGAGGAAGCTTCGTGACTTCCTTAGGCATTTAAAAAGGCCTCCCCCGAGGGAAAAAAAGCCACCGCCGTTATTGTAGTCAGCCCCAAAACAGTGAGCTTGATAGCGACCCCAAGGCCCCGAGATGCCGCCGGACGTTTGGCCCATACCCCGCCAACCGTTGTCATGGCCGTGAGGGTCAAAGGATTTACCGGGCCCCCCCTTTCTGTGGCGTTTGAAACCGTCTTTTACAAGGTCCGTAGGTTGGTAGTCCCTATGGGCGTATCTGCCTCTGCCCAGGCCGCGGGCATACGGCCCCGAATGACCGCCGAACCCATGGGGAGGGCCCCCGAAAGGTGGCTTTCCAAATGGAGAAGGCTTACCATATGACTTGCCAAATAGAGGTCTCCAAAATGGAAGTGAGAAAGTGCGCTCATCATCATAGTCACTCCAACCATGTTTGCGATAGCCACCCTTCCGGCAATGGTGATGGCCCATGCCCATACCGTGGTGATAGTGGTGTCGGTGGTGCTCATCGTCGGAGTCAGAATCACAGTCCGAGTCTGAGGAATCAGAGTTAGAATCGGAATCGTCCCCCATGCGCCAGCGGTGCTTTTCCTTGCCAAACTTCTTTCCCCACTTGTGTTTATGCACTTCGTTGGAAACCCCTCTCCACTTGAAACCTCCAGGCCCACGCGTATGGTCTATTCTTCCGCTGGGTGGGCCGGGAGGATGCTTTGAGAAGGATCCATTTGAGGAAGAAGAGTCACATCTCTACAGAATCTGTTAGCATCTTCGCAAAAACCAATGTATGAGAACACCTTACTCCAAATCCAGATTGGCATCCGACGGAGCAATGTTCAGCCTTGCTACCACACCAACCCCATTGCGAACAGCAGCTGTTGTTTGGACACTTCAAACCCTTTCCATTACCCGCAAAATTGCCCTATAATCCCTACCCAGCCAGAAACATCCCACCGACCGGGGCCCTACCGGCGGCGAGGGAACGCCACCCGGTGAAAAGCAATAGCAAAAAAACTGGCCGGTATCTCACAACACCGAAGACGCAAATTCCCCTAACCGGCCAAGATGGTTTTTCCAAGGCCGAGAATAACCCCGGCAGTGAGACAAATACGCTAATGCCAGACAGATGATCAACTGCTATCGTTCATTGGATTGAGCACCTAGGCGTTATCCATCAGATAAAATTAACTCCAGATGACCCGTTTGCCTTGGCCTTGATAACACTTTGACGGGGGTTTGTGAAAGAAGGGGGTTTGTGCCGTTGATGTTGAAGAAGCCTGTGAGCACAAACGGGCGCAAGTATGATACCGGGATCTGAAATAGAAATTCAGTTTCAACCTACAGTGGGCCAACAGCAACCCAAGCGCGGGGAATTATCTATCAAAACCGGTCGCGGCAACTGGGGTATTTTTCATGAAAAGTATAACTACCCAACATTGAAGGTCTAGTAATCTACCAAAATATAATAGCCGGTTCCCCTCCTATTTCGCTGTCGCTCATAGTCGGTGAAACCAAGTGGGACGCGAAACCAAGTGGGACGCCCCGGCTTTTTTTTTTTGAAAGATTACCCGGAAAATGAAGTCCACCAGGCAACAGCATACCACCTAAGTAACCATAAGACCAATCTTCCACCTTCATCTTTGGCTTAGCAGGAATCCATTTCCTAGTACCTCCAATACTGTGCTGGCACTTCTATAACTTTGGGTTCTAGGCAACTTGAGCCTTGATTCCAGTAAGTTCAATCAATTGTGGTTAACTACAAGCCTCTCTTGGACATAACCAGTAGTAGCCTTGTTCCTGCTTGGATTTCGCTCCCTTTGGAATTCCAACTTCTCTTATCTGTGTCAACTTCTCTCCTTTTCATCAACTCCTCTCACCTTGCTAAACTCCTCTTCTCTTTATCAACTCCTCTCGCCTCGCTCAACTCCTCTCGCCTTGCTCAACTCCTCTCGCCTTGCTCAACTCCTCTCGCCTTGCTCAACTCCTCTCGCCTCGCTCAACTCCTCTCGCCTTGCTCAACTCCTCTCGCCTCGCTCAACTCCTCTCGCCTTGCTCAACTCCTCTCACCTTGCTAAACTCCTCTTCTCTTTATCAACTCCTCTCGCCTCACACAACTTCTCTCGCCTCATGCAACTTCTCTCGCCTCACTTAACTTCTCTAGTAGGCTTGCTCAACTCCTCTTCTCTCCATCAACTTCTCTCATCTCGCTAAACTCC